AGATTCCAGATCACTTTTATTTTAACAACTATAGTCATTATTGAATTTTACTTATCTTCATGAAACATAGATATCTCAGCGTAGTCAGATATAATGGAAATTTCCCTTGGAAAAATAACCATTCATTGTAAAATTCATCCTTGATAGTTGTGATAGATATCTAGTTCCATCAAGCAGAAATTAAGACTTTTCTAGTCAAGAAAACTTGACTAGATGTGTTGAAAGTATGGGACAAATCAAGAAAAACACTGACAAAATTAAATCTTTTTTTTTTTTTTTCAAGACAGAGTTGCTCTGTTGCCTAGGCTGCAGCGTAGTGGCATGATCTCGGCTCACTGCAACCTCTGCCTCCCAGGTTCAAGTGATTCTCCTGCCTCGGCCTCCTGAGTAGCTGGGATTATAGGCTCCCACCACCACGCCCAGCTAATTTTTGTATTTTTAGTAGAGATGCGGTTTCACCATGTTGGTCAGGCTGGTCTCAAGCTCCTGACTTCATGATCCTCCCACCTTGGCCTCCCAAAGGGCTGGGATTACAGGGGTGAGCCACTGTGCCTGGCCTAAAATTAAGCCTTTTTTTTTTTTGAGACGGAGTCTTGCTCTGTCGCCAGGGTGGTGTGCAGTGTTGTGATCTTGGCTCACTGCAAACTCCACCTCCCGGGTTCAGGCTATTCTCCTGCCTCAGCCTCCCAAGTAGCTGGGACTACAGGCGCATGCCACCACACCCAGCTAATTTTTGTATATTTAGTAGAGATGGGGTTTCACCATGTTAGCCAGATGGTCTTCATCTCTTGACCTCATGATATGCCTGCCTCAGCCTCCTAAAGTGCTAGGATTACAGGTGTGAGCCACCACGCCCGGCCCCAAAATTAAATCTTAACTAAAGTTTTGCCTTTTGATGGATAAACTTTAAAGGAATGGCGCTGCTTATTAAAGAAATTTGTTAGTGAGGCCGCACTGAAGACCTCTGTGAGGCTAGAGGGCTCACTCTTCCTACAGACAGGATAACTTGTTTCGTTTCTCAGTTCCCCACCCCAGGCCTTTGGCTCTTTACTGAAAGAATGAAGGATACTTACCTCAACTAGAATTTGGGTTTACCAAAGCAGTTTGGGGTTTTGCTTGAATAACTTGATTTTGTTTGCTTTGGGTTTTTAAACATTTTTGGGGGGTATGTGGCTAGATGAATCTCAAAGCCTATTTTCTTGGGAATTTGTATGAGTTACCTAGATTCGTAAAATCAGGTTCTTTGCCCTGGGAGCTACATAAATTAAAGATGGTGGTGTAATTACCCATTGGCCAAAACCGCAGCTGATGCTGTCCAGATGCCTGAATTCTGCAGTCTTCCTCTCCTATATCCAGCAGGCCTTTTTTCCTTCTCCCTCCCCCCACCCACACACCCCCACTCCCCCCACTCCCCCCCTCCTTAATTCTATTCTACTTGCTTCTTTTGTTTTCTCTTTCAGTGGCTTCTCCCCCAGCCCCTGGGCCTCTGTGCTTCCTGACAGAGTTGTGTTTGAGTTAAGGTGGTTGAGCAGCCACCGGAATCGTCCTGAGCAAGTCATCTTGCGGGACTAGCTCAGCCCTACAGCAGTAGTCTGTCCACTCTGTGGGAAACCACCAATGGCTCCAAAAATCTGAGAATTCAAAACTCTGCATCTTCTTTTGGAAAGACCCACACTAGCACAAACGAGCCAGCTCCTCCAACCCCTTAAGAAGCACACGCCCCCCTTCAGCTCCCTCTGCCCAGCCACACTCTGCACCACCTCACCCCTGCCCGGCTGCCTCCCTGGCGCCCTTTCATCCACACGGGAAAGGCGGCCTCCGAGATGCCCATCTCCCCACTTTCCCTAGGTCCAGTCTTGCAGCCTTATCCCGTGCTTCATCTCCTTCCTCCTTGTCGGATGCCATTACCATACATTAAAGTATGTCTTTTCTCCACGACGCTAACTGATCTCATTTATCTTCAGACACCCCTGAGGCTAAGGCTCTCTCACCTACTCCCAGGCCTCGGCCCCACCTGTCCCTCCTTCAGCTGCCCCCTCTCTCCTCGTCTCCCTGCTGCCCTCTCCCCCTTCTTCCCTCTCACAGGTGGTCCCATTACTCCCTACCTTTCTTTACGGACTCTCCTGCTCCAGGGTATATTTTGTAAAGTCAACCACAGGAAATATAGCAGCTTTCAGGAAGGACAAATCTCATGATCTAAATTCAATGGTGTGGGTTGATAGCATTGTCTCACATCATGAGATTATTTTAATTGTCAGAATAGAAACCATATCATATATTTTCTAAGCTATGAATCTGTGCTATGAAACATGCTCCAAACCCAGGCTTTTTTTTTTTTTTTAAACCGCTGGTCTCCGAGGAGCCCAGGGCTCAGATGTGGAGGCTTAAGGACGTGTCCGCGGGTTAGGCCTGGCGCTGTCATGGAGCCCGATACGGGTTTGGCAGCACAAAGGTGGCCCCTTCTCCTCCCAATGCACGCCCCAGGGATTGACATGGGGTCACAGCTGGCCTCAGCTCAAAGGTCAGCACGCCCAGCGCACATGGGAGCAGCTGCATGTATTGCTTCATAGACGGGGACCTACACAGCCCTAAATGATCCTCCTGCAACTCAGATGCCTCTGAAGGAAATGCCAGGGGTCCCCTGAACAGTGCTGCTGCTGCCAGGCAACCCGGTTTCCAGAATTAACATTTGGGATTAATAACGTGCCCAGCTTATCAGCCAGGCCCTTTGTTCCCCTACAGTTCCATGGGAGCTTTTCAGCAACTGCTTCTGAAAGTGATCTCTCCCGGCTGATGCTTTTAATACTCACTGCAAAATCTGATCTGCTTATGAAAATATCTGAAGTGAACTGTAGCCTAGAAAAACATTAAACCTAGAAGAGAGTTGGTGAAATTGAGGTCAAAGGACACAAAGCCAACACTAATGGGATCCTCTTAACAACGAGGAATCAGACACACAAATAAAAGGTCCAGCATTCTGGGCAGGGGCTGACAGCAGATGCCCAAATTTGGATTAAATATCTTGGTTATTTCTCACAGGAGAGGCACCATCAAAAAGCAGTATGGGCTGGGTGCCGTGGCACATGCCTGTCATCCTAGCACTTTGGAACGCTGTGGCGGGAGAATGGCTTGAACCCAGGAGTTCAAGTCCATCCTGGGCAACAGAGCAAGAACCCATCTCTGCAAAAAATTTTAAAAATTGACTGAGTGTGGCAGCTCATGCCTGTAATCCCAGGGCTTTGGGAGGCCAAGGCAGGAGGATTGCTTAAGTCCAGGAGTTCAAGACCATCCTGGGTAACAGCAAGTTCCTATCTCTGCAAAAAAATTTACAAATTAGCCAAGTGTGGTAGTGCACACTTGTAGTCCCAGCTACTTGGGAGGCTGAGGCAGGAGTATCATTTGAGTCCAGGAGGTTAAGGCTGCAGTGAGCCATGATCGTGCCACTGTACTCCAGCCTGGGCAAGAGTGTGATCCTGTCTCTAAAAAAGAAAAAAAGCAACATGGTATTACACTCTCTTACATAGATAATATGACCTACCCAATATGTAGTCCTTTTCATTATGTGACCATAAGGCATAACTATGACAAAATATTTTCCCAGTACATTGCCTTTCTTGCCTTTCTGTATTCATTCGAGTCTTTAATCTCTTGCTTGGTTTTGGCCAAACTTCACCCCAAAATGAGTTCCTCTGCAGCACCCTCACTGAAAACTGACATGGGCAGTCAGTGTGTAGCACCAGGAAACCTGCCTTTAAATGCATAATCAGGCCGGGCGCAGTGCCTCACGTCTGTAATCACAGCAACACTTTGGGAGGCCAAGGCAGGCGGATAACTCGAGGTTAGGAGTTCAAGGCCTGCCTGGCTAACATAGTGAAACCCCATCTCTACTAAAAATACAAAAATTAGCCAGATGGGTTCGCTTGAACCCAGGAGGCACTGGTTGCAGTGAGCCAAGATCAGGCCACGGCACTCCAGCCTGGGCAGCACAGCAGACCTGCCTCAAAAAATAAAAAAATTAAATTAATAAATAATCATCATCCCTGTCCTCTCTGTTGAAGAAGGCAGAAGTATTCCTTTAACTAAAGTAATTGAGTGATTTTTATCCAGACTGTAGCACTTTGTAAAGAAACAATTCACAGAAAATGAAACTCAGAGAGATGTTATGGAGAACATTTGGATTTCTTTCCTTGGTGTCTACACCTCTGTACTCTGCATCTGATGGTTTTTGTCCTTTAATCTATAGGTTCCGCTGTGTGGCAGCTGATCGCATCCTTCCTGAGGCTTCCGATCTCAGGAACTCACTGCATTGTGGGCTCTACTATAGGATTCTCCCTGGTCGCCATCGGTACCAAAGGTGTGCAGTGGATGGAGCTTGTCAAGATTGGTAATTGCCATTTTCTTTTACCTATAAGAAGGAAAATTTACATTTTCTAGAGTAAGTTTTATTGCAAGTTACCTTTATATCTTTTTCTTCAAATGTTAAGGTTTAAAAGACCTAGATGGGGCTGGGCGTGGTGGCCCACACCTATAATCTCAGCACTTTAGGAGGTGGAGGCAGGCAAATCACAAGGTCAGGAGTTCAAGAGCAGCCTGGGCAAGATGATGAAACCCCGTCTCTACTAAAAATACAAAAATTAACCAGGTGCGGTGGCTAGCGCCTGTAATTCCAGCTACTCGGAAGGTTGAGGCAGGAGAATTGCTTGAACCCGTGTGGCAAAGGTTGCAGTGAGCCGAGATCACGCCACTGCACTCCAGCCTGGGAAATAGAGTGAGACTCTGNGGAGAGAGAGAAAGGAAGTGGGGGGAAGAAAGGAGACAGGTCAAATAAGAAGTCTGTCGAGGACTTTTAGGAATAAGTTATTTTAGGCCTGGTGCAGTGGCTCACATCTATAATCCCAGAACTTTGGGAGGCCAAGGCAGGTAGATAACTTGAGTTTGAGACCAGCCTGGCCAATATGGCACAACCCCATCTCTACAAAAATTAACCGGGCATGATGGCAGGTACCTGTAATCCCAGCTATCCGGGAGGCTGAGGCAGGAAAATCACTTGAACTCAGGAGGCGGAGTTTGCAGTGAGCTGAGTTGGTGCTACAGCATTTCAGCCTGGGTGAGAGAGTGACACTGTGTCTCAAAAAAAACAAAACACCTAGATAGTGTAGGTAATGTATTTTCCCTTAAAATTCCCGTTAATGGAGATAGTGAACTATTATCTGCTAGACAATTGTTTAACTCTATTCTTTTTTTTTTTTTTTTCTTTTTTTTCAGACAGAGTCTTGCTCTGTCGCCCAGGTTGGAGTGCAATGGCACAATATCGGCTCACTGCAACCTCCGCCTCCTGGGTTCAAGTGATTCTCTTGCCTCAGCCTTCCGAGTATTGGGATTACAGGCGCCTACCACCACGCCCGGCTAATTTTTGTACTTTTAGTAGAGATAGGGTTTCAGCATGTTGGTCAGGCTGATCTCAAACTCCTGACCTCAGGTGATCCACCCGCCTTGGCCTCCTAAAGTGCTGGGATTACAGGCATGAGACACCGCGCCTGGCGCAACTCTAATCTTTTAAAATGTTACATTGTCATCCAGCTTTGGAGATCACCCTCTGTTCTTCCCAGACACGTAAGAAATGTATTTGACTGAAGTCAGTCTGTCGGTCAGAGAAAGACTGGGCACAAGTGAGGAAGGTGCCTGGAATCCAGGAGTGCAGAGTCTTGGAGAAGCCTCAGAGTGAGCCCCGTGTTATGCCCCTCCCTGCATTCAACAGATCATCCAGGCTAGGTGTAGTGGCTCAGGCCTGTAATCTGCACACTTTGGGAGGCCAAGGCAAGAGGATTGCTTTCGCCCAGGAGTTCAAGACCAGCCTGAGCAACACAGCAAGACCCCATCTTTATTAAAAAAAAAAAAAGAAAAGAAAAGAAAATTAG